TAGACAAGTGGGACCTCATCAAACTGACAAGCTTCTGCAAAACCAAAGAAACCATCAAGAAAGTGGGGAGACAGCCCACAGACTGGGAAAAATATTTGCCAAATGTATGTCTGACAAAGGCCTAACATCTAGGATCTACAAGGAACTCAAACATGCCAAAAAGAAAAAAAAAAGACAGCCCCCATTACAAAATGGGCAAAATATATGAAAAGACACTTCTCCAAAGAAGACATATACGCAGCCAACAGATACATGAAAAAATGCTCAGCCTCACTAGCCATCAAAGAAATGGAAATTAAAATCACACTGAGATACTACCTAACTCCAGTCAGGATGGCCATCATCAATAACTCAAAAAACAACAGATGCTGGAGAGGATGTGGGGAAAAGGGAACACTTCTACACTGCCGGTGGGAGTGTAAGCTAGTACAGCCTCTGTGGAAAGTAGTGTGGTGATTCTTAAAAGATCTAAAAATTGACCTTCCATATGGCCCCACAATTTCCTTACTGGGAATATACCTGGAAGCACTCAAATAACTCTATGTAAAAGATACCTGTGCACTCATGTTTATTGCAGTTTTATTAGCAATTGCAAAGACATGGAACCAAACGTGCCCACTGAAAGAGGATTGGATAAAAAAAAATGGTACATATACATGATAGAATATTATACAACCATAAAGAAGGACAAAATTATGAGTTCTGCTGCAACTTGGATGGACTTAGAGTCTATAATGCTGAATGATCTAACACAGAAACAAAGAACTGAGTACCACATGTTCTCACTCATAGGCGGACCTTGAACAATTATCATAATACCATAAGAAAAGGATTGGCAGTAGTGGGAAACTGCCAGGGGAGGGGTGGGCACACCTCATCAACAAGGGGACCTGCATAATGAACATTTGTATACCGAACCTTGAATTGTACCCGCATCTTTAAAATAAAAAAATGATAGCACACATTTCCGACAATAAAAAATATATATTGGGAATATACCCAGAGGAACTCAAATTATTTTACAATACCTACACACATATGTTTGTTGCAGCTCTATTCACAATAGCAAAAACATAGAATCAACCATGCTGCCCATTGAAGCTGGAATGGGTTAAAAAAATGTGATACATATGCATAATGGAATATTACACAGTCATAAGGAGGGACGAACATACAGGCTTCACAGCAATTTGGATGGATTTAGAGTCTGTCATCCTCAGTGATCTATCACAGAAACAAAGAACAGAGTACTACATGTTCTCACTCATAAGTGGACCTTGAACAATTATAATACAA